CCGGCTGCTGCTGGTGGCAGGGGGACTTGCAGGACAGCGCTGCAAGGGAGAGAGGACTGCCAGTCCCCAGCCCCGGCCTGATGGTCCTGTCTGGGACACAGGGTTTGCTAGGAAAGGTGTGAAACTCTCTCCAGAGGCGGAATTCATCTCACAGCCCAGGGACACCAGCAGGACCCTCCAAGCAGAAGAGAAGAAGAAAGCATTGGTGAGTCCTGGCAACGCAGCACCAGCAAAGTGGGCCTGGCTCATAACTGACACAACTCCCAGTCCCACCCCAGCATGAGGCCGCTGCTGCCCAGGGTGTGCAAGACTATGCCCCCCTGCTCCAGCTCATACCACCACCTGCCCAGCATCATTCCCATGTCCTGCCCTGAGAAACTGTGGCTGCTGATGGCACAATGCCGCTCCTGATCACAGGAATTCAGCCCCCCTCCCCAGGCGCATGCAGCGGCAGGCAACTGTCCCAGTGCCCTGTGGTGGGGTGGTGCTCAGCGACCTCCCACTGGTCTCCACAAAGCACCGGACAAGTGGCTTCACTAAATGGGAAGGTACGTCACAAAATTTACCATTTGGTGTTTCAGAGTAGAAGCGTTACTCTCAGTGACCAGAAAAAGCAATAATGCAAAACAGGGAGCTGCACCGCCCATCAGCACTCCCCCCGAAGCAGCCTGCTTCATGCACATTATGCAGCACGCAGCAGCCAGAGATGAGCACTGCAGCGTGGCAAGAGCCCTACAAACACCGCAAGAAAGCGTGCACAGGGAGGCGTCAGGTCAGCTGAGCGCCTGGGACAGCCTTTGCCAGCAGGAGCGGCTCTGACTCCACACCAGGCAGTTCTGGCTTTGCCCCTGCCTATCACCACCACTGCCAGCTCACGCCCACTCATGCACTGGGAAGTGTGCTCAAACGAGGACTGCGGTCACCCTCTAATGCCAGAATTCATTTCCTATACGATGCTGTTAAAAGCAATCAGGAACCAGGCTCCTTTCTTCTCTCACAGATGCATGCTGGCATGGCAGGCAAGTGCTTAGTGCTTTGACCAAACGGAGGGAATTTTACTTCTCCTTGCAGATGTCTTGACTTTCAGCTAACCTGCAACTACCACGAGGGAATCTACTCAAGAAAGCACAGACTGGGCCTTCAGGTTTGTCCTGGGGTCCTACACAATGCCTAGGTTTCCAGGGGGGAATCCCACATTCTAACTTTGCTGCAAGAAATACAGATTTGCTGCTACACTCCTGCAGCAGCTCTCCACGCAGTCTGCCGGGAAGGAAGGTCTCGTGGCAGCAGTGCCGTGTCCCTCTTGACTACAGTCTGCGGGGCTTGGGAGCTCTGAGCCTCTCCCCTGGCATGACGTCCCCAGCTTGGGCATCACAGTGCCATGGAAAAAGAACACTGACGCTGGAAGAGGGAGAGTTTTGAGCAGAACTTGGGGGAAAGACTTAGTCTCACGCCTTTTGAAGCAGGCAAACAGCTCAGTGTTTTCTCCTTGCTGTTCCTCTCCCTGTTGCAGGCTTATCATTACGGGTTAAACTGCCATAAGCCCTACCATTAAACTTTGTGGTAGCAATACAAATACTAAAATAAAAACGAGCCATTGTTTTTTACTACCAACGACAATAAATCAAAGCCCACAAGAAAAACCCAATAAAACTATGCACTCTGTTAGCGTTTTCGATCTTCCAGCACCTCCCCGGGGAGAGGCGATACTGACATCAAGCCCAGTCAAGAAAAGAGGATGCTGCCATTCCCAAAGGACGCTGAGTCCGACCTTCCAGCACCACCCCGGGGAGAGGCGATACTGACATCAAGCCCAGTCAAGAAAAGAGGATGCCGCCATTCCCAAAGGACGCTGAGGAAGCCTCGCTGAGGGCTTCACACCAGCCTGTCGGGACCAAGCGCCCCAGTCCCCAGGAGCCTCGGAGCCGCCCCAGTGCAGTGCCCGCCGGCAGCCTGGGATCAGCCAGGCCTTCTCGCAACGACGTTCTGCCGTGGAAAAACGGCTGCGGCCCCCTGCTCAGGACCACCCCTTCGGGACGTGGCACCTGATCCTAAAAGCAGCTTCTCGCATCCCTCCGGCCCCCCCGCCAGCGGCGGACGCCCGCCCTCCGCGCACGGAGCTCCCCTCGAGAGCTTCGGGGTTCCCGCAGCGGGGCGGGGAGCCCTGCGCAGGGCGGTGGAGGCGCCCCGGCCGGAG